CCTACTTTGGTATTCTTTAATTAATCGTTGCTTTATTTGTGTATGTTCTGTTAGTTTGGCCTGTTGGAATCCTAAGTACTTGTAGAACTCGCCCTCTTCCATGGATTCAATAACGTCTCCATTTCCAAGTGCAAAATCTTCTTTCTTCAGGATTCCTTTTTCTATGTGAAGTTTTTTGCATTTGTCTAAGCCAAACTCCATTTGTATGTCCTTAGTGTATGAATGTGTGATTTGTAGGAGTTGATGAAGTTGTTTTTGTGTGGATGCATAAAGTTTTATGTCGTCCATGTACATGAGATGTGAGAGTGTAAACTGTGTTGTTTTTTCATGTCTGATATTGTAGCCATAATGCGTGTTGTTTAACATGTTGGATAATGGATTCAGGGCTAGGCAGAACCAGAGAGGACTCAAGGAATCTCCTTGAAAAATTCCTCGCCTAATGAATATTTCGTTTGTTTGTATGGAAGTGTTACTAACCCTGAGATGTAGTGTTGTTCTCCAGTGCTGCATAGTGTTTTCGAAGAATGCAATGAGTGATGGATGTATTTTGTACATGTGTAGAATATGTAGCAGCCAACTGTGTGGAACACTGTCGAATGCTTTTCTGTAGTCTATATATGCCATGTGTATGTTTCTGTGTTGTTTGTGTGCTTGCCGTAGAATGACTGAATCTATGAGTAACTGTTCTTTGCATCCCCTGTGATTTCTACGGCAACCTTTTTGTTGTTCTGTAAGAATGTCGTGTTCTTCAACATGTTTGTATATTTTGTTTGTGATACAGGATGTCAATAATTTGTAGAGTGTTGGAAGACATGTAATTGGTCTGTATTGTGTGGGGTCTGTGGTTTTGTTGTTTTTAGGTTTCATGTAGGTGATGCCCTGAGTAAGAAATTTTGGCATGTCTTGTGGATTGATGATGATGTGTGTTAGATGTTTAGCTAGTTCCTGGTGCAGTGATGTAAACTTTTTGTACCAGAAATTGTGAATGTTGTCTACACCAGGTGTCTTCCAGTTGTGTGTTCTGTTAACAGCGTAGCGAATGTCGTGTATGTTTATTTCAGCACAGGGCATAGTTGGTATGTTGTGCAAGTTTCTGTTCTCCTCCTCGATCCAGCCTGCATCAGCATTGTGTGTAACAGCATTGGACCAAAGAGAAGACCAATAAGTTGTGAGTTCTTCTTCTGTTGGTGTGCCACTGTGCTGTGTATCAGTGTTTGTTTTGGTACTGATTTGTCTGTAGAAAAGTTTTTCATTGTTTGTGAATAATTTATTTTGTTGTTTTCGTAGTGTACATGTTTTGTATCGTTTGAGTCTACGTGCTTTGGCTGCGAGTTTTTGTTTTAGTGTATCGATGTATTCTGTAATGTGTGTGTTGTGATGTTCATGTTTTGTGTGTGTTTTAATTTTCTTGAAAATGTTTTTGAGTTGTTTCTTTAATTTGGGTGTTATGTTGTTTTTAGTGTATTGTGTCAGCCTGCCTAATTGCTGTCTAATGTCATTTATTTGTGTTTCTATTCTTCTCTGCCAGGCAGGCTTGTGATAGAATTGTGTTTTGTGTGTGTCTGTCTGTGAGTGTATTTTCAGTCCATGGTGTGTCACTACTGTGACTGCCCCAGCATAAACTAATGTATGAATGTCTGAGAGTGTAGAAATTGAATGAATGTAGTTTGGTAGTAAGTGAGTGTTTACATAATTTAGTGTTTTTCCTACTACCTTTGACGTGTTGATTTTCGGTATTCGTGGTCTTTGTGTGGGATCTGTACCTGTATATTTAGTGAGTGTTTCCTGAAATATAAGTGAGAGTGTATTAACTAATTCTATGTCTACGTTATCAGTGATGGATGGGGAAGTGCCTGCAGTATCATTAGTGGTACTTGTTGTGTGTGTGCTGTAATCAGTGCTTGTTGCTGGATTATCCTGACAGGTTACGTGATCTTCATTAATGTTAAATGTTTCTGTCTGTTGATGTATTTGATCAGCAACCTGTTGTTTGATAAGTTCAAGTGTTGTTTGTGGGATAAGGTTGTTGTGTATAATTGTTCTTTTTTGATCAACAACCCTTTGTTCGGTGACAGTGAGGTGAGGATATTGTTGTGTGAATCTATGGTGTAGTTGTTGTCTGTATGCTGTCATGTTTGTTTCGAGTCTTGTGATGGTGTAGTAAGTGCGGATGATAAACTCGTTCATTTCTGTTGTCCATTTCATCCGTTGGCGTGGTTTTCCAGCCTTTGTGGTCTGTGGATGCATTGCCACAGAAACACCAAGGCTAGGTTGATTCCTCACATCTGTTGAGGGCATTGCAGTAGCCATGCTTGGGCCGGCGCTGCTTTCGCCACCGGTAACCAAGGGAGACTGGAGCCTATTTTTCGAACGTGAGCCTCTGCCTAACCCACGAACGCGGACCTTGTTAACCCGGGCGACGTCCGAGCCGGTATCATACTTAGATCTGGTTACTACCATAATGATTATCTCCACAGAATGTGGGTGTGTGGTCACTCTTAGCTTCATTTCTCCCCATAGACCTTACTGGCATGGGTGTCCCTACCAGGAGCTTGTGCTCCAGCCTGCATTGCCCTATGGATCTGTAAAATTACTGGGCTCTCCCACCACGACCAGGTGGTGACCACGGGAGAGATTTATTATTATTATTATTATTATTATTATTACAGTGGTACCTCAGGATACAAAATTAATCCGTTCCGAAACTGAGATCCTATCATGAAAATGTCATAAGGTGAATCATTTTCCCCCATACGATTACATGTAAAACCAAATAATTCATTCCAATACGAAAAACACACTCAAATTAAAGCTAAGTAGTACATTAAAAAAATTAACTATAGTAAGGAAAACACTGAAAAATGCATTTTGTAGTTGTAAATGTATAAATAACCATAATAGAATAATAATTGATAAAAAAAATGTAGTTTTATTTGCACTTTACCTTTGAGGATAGACGACGGTGGAGGTGTAAACTGGTGGCGGAGGAGAGGGAGAAAAGAAATTATACTAAAACTTAACTTACATAACATAATGTAACAATAACTTAAAAATAACTTAACACTAATTTTTTAACTTTTCTGTTTTATATATTTCTTTTTAAATTTTTTATTCACTGCTTTTTGCTGTCTTTCCTTCACTTCCACCAGCACTTTCACTGGATAGAGGTTGCTTGGTAAAATATCTATCTAAAGCAGTTTGGCTTTGCCTACTTTTTAAAATGTTTCTAAAATTACTTAGACAAATGTCATTACTCTGAACAGCAATACAGCTAGTGTGAATCTTTTTGGGATGTTTCTTTTCAATAAAATCAGTCACTTTCTGATAATATCTCAAGATTTCCTTTATCAAGCGAGATCCTTCCACGATGAAGCAAACACACGGACTGAGACCAATGAACTGAAGTGAATAAAAAATGGCGCTGCAAACTAATGTAACGTTGTATGATGAGTTTTTGTTCATACCATGGAACAAAATTATGTTCAAATTTCATGTCGTATCCTGAAAATTTCATATGCTGGAGCGTTTGTATCCTGAGGTACCACTGTATTATTATTATTTTTCCCTCCACTGTGTATCATTCTCAGATTTGTGTCCAGGCAGGTCCAAGAGCTAAGCCTATAAGACCAGTACAAAACCTTAAACAGTTTTGAGAAATTTTCTGACAATATGACACATTGCTAGGATGGTAGCTTTTTGTAAGGATCTATATAAATTTGGCTGTATGAAAAGTTTTATTTCTTAAACTCGGTTATGTACAAATACTTCCAAGCTTCTCTTTTTATCAAAGAAAGAACTGTTGTGGAATCTGTCAAAAATATACTATCTCATTCTGAAATCTCTCATATTAGAAGAAAGTTGAGAGACAATAGTAGCTACAAGTAACTCTAGTCTAGCAATACTTGTCTTTCTTTTACTGCAAGTTTTGATTCTAACTCAATCTTTTAAAAGCTGAACCTTAACAGAATCTTCCAACTCAAGTTGAATAAAAGATACCACACTGTAGGTAAATTGACTTGCATCACAGGAGAAATGTAAAGAGCTATTTCCATTAATATTTTTTTCCATCTAACCATCTGGGAATCCTTACATTGTCCAAGAGAGAAATATCTTCAATCCATTTTGAAAACAGAACTAATCTCTCTATGAACCTCTTGTTCCCAGGTTAGTTTCATCTCACATATGCCATAGTAAGAGCTTAGTAATCAAACTAACTAAACAGATCATACCTAGTAGATTGAAAATGCAACGAGCAACAGCTAAAATTAATTTGTTTGCAATCTTTTTGAAACACATTTTTCAAATTCATCACATTTATTTGAAGGGTGTTGTTACTTCTGTCCTAAATTATTCCTAAAACATTGAATTTGCTATACAGTTTAAAGTAGGGTCAGTATACTCCCACCCTCTCAACTCAAACTTTCTTTTGGTCATAACATTTGTACCCATTTACACAAAACATTGTAACTCTAGTTTACTTTGAACCCTTGTCACACATTTATCAACATAAAAACTCCTCATGATTTTCTGAATATCATCTTTTGAATATGTTTATAAGCTGATTTATAGAAAAGCTTTACAAATGTCTGTTATTTTTTCCAAACAAAAACAAATTAAAATCATAGGAATCAATTCAATGAGATTTAATCCTTTTTCAAGACATTCATTAAGACAGAGAATCCCTTTTTCTTAGCCAATGCATTAAATACAGATCTTATTCTAGTTGTGCTATTCTACTTGATCAGAGGTCTATATGGTAAGTATTGACAGGAAGCTTTAATCTCATTTATGGGCATTGCTATAATACTATCAAGAAGCCATTCTTAAAATACATCATTGTAGGCTTGATAGAAACTTTCTTATCTAAGTTTCTTAACTGTCAAATTCAATCTCATGAAAGCAAGTTCATAATTGGAAGTGGGGAATGTCCTTCAATCCACAGTAAATGCACCACAAAATGCCTACTATCATCCAGTTTCACAGTGCTCAAAAAACATTGCTCTGCAGCCACATGAATTTCAAATTTAGTTTTCTTTTCTGAAGGATCAGTAATACCAAATGAATCAAGAGTCCATAAATCCAAAATATAAATGTCCTTGTACAATATAAAAATAACAATCAAGGCTGTATTATTAGGCAATGTTTCAGCAGTGTGGCCCATGACCATCCCACCTAATTGAGTTTCTATAGCTGCAAGACCACAAGCAAGCTTCCAATATCTGCTCGTCATCAATTTACCAGCCACATCAGCTCCAATGAGAAGTTCAATTAGTCCACTCTCAAGATCAGTCAACTCAATACCATATCTTTTAGGCTCCTGAAACCCTGAACCTTTTTTCACAGGAGATGTAATCCTACAAATAATAGACTGACCAAATAACAGTAAACAAAAACTGAAACTGTACAATAGTGAAACTAACACCTATATGACTGACCAAGAACATCAAAATGACAATTATACATCCATGATAAATTGGACAAAAACACAGTGAAAACATCATGATCACAAATATCAGATTTAGCTCCTCCAAATAGTGAAAGTTGAAGAGCTTTGTTTCTAATAGATTTATAACCCATCTTCTTGGCTGTGGAATTCAATATATAGGAATATTGAGAATAAGTGTCTATTATTACACAAACAGTATGTTGAATTCTATGTTGACCTCTCAACAAAACAGCCAAATTTTGCAACATCACACAAGGAAGTTGTAAAATTAGCAAGTGCTTCATCTTGCTGTTTTGGTAGTTCTCTAGTAAGTGCTTCATCTTGCTGTTTTGGTAGTTCCTTCTTCAACTCAACAAACTTAAACCCTAAGGAAACTTCTACACACAGTTAAATGATGTCGTTTGTTGCAAATCAAGCAACTCATCTTAATCTTACATCATCTTACTATTTGCCCTTTCTTCAAGCAAAAAAAACAACAATGTCCCTTTTCCACAGCATCTTGTCTTTCTTGAAATGACATTTTTCAAACTTTCCTACATTCTTCTGACATATGGTGTCTAGAACAAAATATGCATATCTTCTGAAATCCTTCTTTGGAGAAAGCAAACACATCAGCTATGGAGACTATCAGTGATAATTTATCTCTCTTAGAATTACTATTCTCTCATCTATTATTAGAACTCTCAGTTGAAATGAATGTATCAAGTTGAAGGAGAAGAGAGGATACAATTGGCCGTCAAAAGGCAAACCCTTTGATGGCCAACTGTATCCTCTCTTCTCCTTCAACTTCATCTTGAAGAAAACTTAGTAGATGATCAATACATTTTGTATTTCTTACTTTTGTCCTTTAGAAAAATTTATCCAAATTTGGCATTTCTGTTTTCTGCATGTCCACACTAGGTGTGGACATGCAGGAAAACAATAAAATGAAACTTTTGGTGTTACATGTTGAGTGTTTGCTAGTGTATTAGAACATCCAAACACAGAACAATTTACATTTGATTTTCCCATTTTTAATATAACTCAAACACAAATTAAAAAACAATAAGTGATTTAATGCACTAGGTACAGTTTTAGAAATGTCTCAGATACAATGCATATTCTTTCTTTAGTGAACTCCTATGTGTTATGTAAATATTTGCCACCAGAATGGCACATGAGTAACTTGCACTCGGGGTCTATATATATGTACAAGTGTAGATGGCGGTGTGGCACACAGTCACACAATAAGGCATATGGAGGCATGCTGATTGCTATTTTGTTCCTGAATACATTTACAAAAATAAATAAATAAATTCCACATGGAAAGTGAAAAAAGCTAAAAAAGCAAGTTTGCCTCAGAAAAAGCTAAAAAAGAGAGGAGCCATAAAAAAAAAAGTATTTTTTTGGGAAATGAAAAACATTGTCCAAGGAAAGTAGAGCAAATGTTTATTTCTATAAACATGAAGCGCTTTAGAATCATGTAGGGCAACCGTTCAAAGAAGAGTTTTTTTTTTGTCTAAATACAACAGAAAACATTCACTAAAAAGATAAATGATGGAAATGATCTAAGTCCACATGATACAAAATTTGTAAAGATTTACTTCTACAGTCATTATTTACTTAAAATAGCATTGAAAAAATTTTGTATTCTCTTCATCTATAAATTTCAGGATAGCACAAATATCTTTCTTGTTTTTGTCACTCAGTGGTTGTACATCTGTTAAACACAATAGCTCTGCTGACTTAACATCTTGGAGAGTAATTCTTCTCTTGAACAGATTGCATTTCTCCCACCCTATTAAGTCAGTAAAGCTCTTTCCATAGAAAACCCAACCAAGGTCTTCTTTGGTCACTTACAATCATATGCTTTTTATTTAAAAATCACTTATAATACAAAAAATTTTTTAAATTTTACAAGCAAGTAAATTCTGTTGGGCACATAGATCAACTAGTATGCAGACAGCCTCTGAATATACTCTAAGCCCCATCTATTGATGTATTGATCTATTAAAATGAAAATGAAAGGTAAAGGCACTGCATTGGCCTTGCAAAATAGATCATTTTGCAAGGCCAATATTCTTTAATATAATATAATTTCTTATATTAAATTTTCTTTTTTAATTTTATTCTTATATTTATATGGCAGTAATAAAACTATTTTAAACTGTCAATTTTATTTAAACTTATAATTCATGCATTTCAAAATAATCATCCATCATACCAACACTACTGGTGTGAGAATTAATAAAATAACTATGAAATTACCAACAAACCAGCAATAATTCACTTCAAAAATGAACATTTTCTACCGTCTTCAACGGTCATCATCAGGTTCAATTCCAACTCTTGGAATTGAACCTGATGATGACTGTTATTTTATTCATGCATTTCAGATATCAAAAACAATAGCAAACATTCTTATTAGAGGGTCTTTAAATATTATTATATTTTTGTTATAATGAGATGAGTTTTCATTCTTTTTAAATGTGTACTTATCACATTTATATAGAATTAACTAGCTATAGTTCATACATAGAATTTCTCATGTTTATGAATTATAATGATTATAAAATGCAAGATAACATTAAAATTACTCTAAATTAAATTTAGTAAGAACAAACATTATTATTAAAACAAAGTTTACTCAATTATAAATGTTTTCTGAAAAGTGCTATCATCATCTTCAAAAAGTATCATATATTTAAAACATTCAAGTAAATGATTTTGTATCTGATGATTTTGTAATTTTATTCAAAATTTAAATTTATATTGATAAAATATTTTATAAACATCATTTCATATATAATGTTTATAAAGCATTAAAGCAAAATAGAATATCTAATATTTTTCAGGATCAAAAAGATAATTGAATGTCTTACTACTACTGCAAATTCAAAATAAAAACAAATTCATTTCTTCTTATAATGTGATTCATATTTTCTAAGTATCTTTTGAAGATTTTGACTTAAAGACTTAACAGAATTTACTTCTATATTTACAATAATCTTTTTACATTTTTTTTCCCTCCATTTATTGTATTAAGCTTTTTTTATTTGTTCTTAAACTGATCATTCAAGTATTCTTTTACAAAATTTTTATCTATTAATTTAAATATAGCTAAATATTGCAAGCTTTTGTTAAATAAAAACTTTACAAATTTAAATTTTAAAAATACTTATCCATTAAGATAAAAATTCAGTTTTAATTTCCATTTCAAGCCTTTTCACAACAAAAAGCCTTTTATTTTTATGAACTATTTTTGTCAGATTAAAATTATAAAATAAAAATGACTGTAAATATGTTTGCATAAATAATTTTTAATTATCTTATTTTTCTCTCATTTTAATAAAAGGAATAATCAAATAATTAAAAGTAAAATAAAACAAATTAATAATAAACCATAATAAAATAGGTTCCCCTTGGCATTAGTTCCCCTTGCGTAACATCGCGCCCCAGAGAAGGCAACGGGAAACCACTCTGGGTACTAACTTTCCCTAGTAACACCTTGGCGTACTTACTAATCTGCGCCGGGTGTGGCCGAGGTCGGGAAAAACCTGATATGGCACGATGAGATGAGATAATAAAATAACAAAAACTTTAAATAATTCTGAAATAAAATGCTTAAATATATATTATAAAAAAATTATATTTAACCTTCATGTCAATTTCATGGACCATGTTGATTATTCCAGAATTAGAATGAGCAAAATGAAAACCTTCCTGCAATCGCATCCTGAAATGTAAATTTTTGAAAAAATTAATTAATACATAATAATTAACAACTCATAAACATGCCTATAATAAAGCATGCATTAAAAATGCCTTCTACATTTATTATTATATTGATTTTATTATATTTATAAATGTTGATATTACAAAAATATGAAAAAGAATTACTATAGTTTATGGCATACTCTCATTTTAGCAGAGAATATTTAACAAAAAAGTATTTGATGTATTTAATCCATCCTGTGCCTTTAGAATTCAGCTATAAAGTTGTTTTTACTATATTCTAGTTAAAAAAGTTAAACCAGAATACACACTTATGTTGGATGCATAATTATAATAGTGCTTATCCCTCTTTATTTTAATATAATAAAAAATAATTTAAAGTGGTTACAAAAACAGTCAGATAGTAAACTTACTACTTCTGCTAAATTATATTTAATTTCTCAGAGAGTTGTGTGAAGAGGTCAAATATAACTTTCTGGAACTCTCTTTCAGTAGAAGAATAACTGTCCATGTGGGGCTCATGTTTTCATAAAGAGTATACATGATTTGAACCTGTTGCTATGGTCAGCAGCTCCTAAATATATTTTCAATTGAACAAATATAAAACCTCTTCAGTTTAACAACTGTATTGAAAACCACCTGCCTCTGATCTGAATATTTTGTATAATAAAATATATGCTGACAACCTTGTTGAAAATATGCCATTTAATACAGCAATGAATTACTGCACTTTTTTTAAAAAGCATAGACTTGTTATTAAATAAATGATCCTGTTTAGCATCTTGTGTTTATTTTTTGATAATTTGCATACCTTAGGCACCTCTATTATTCTATTCTTTTCAATTTCATAATTCAGTATGAAAAAGTACAGACTTATGAAATTTTATAAAGTTGCAATTTCACTGTTGAGGAATATATTTTAACATTTATAAAAATGCAGATTTAAAATATTTATAAAATTGTAAAAATAATCTTTATCAATTTGTTTATAAATCTGTACATCCACTAATATCATTTTAGTAAGATAAAAAGTAATGATTGATAATATACTCATATTTATTTTAATAAATACTTACTGAATAATGGTTGAAAGTAATTGCGCTACTACATTCATAGATATTGAGTAACTCAGATCATTTTGTAAAGTCCAAATCCATCGCTGATGATAAAGATAACGACTGAGAGTAACCAGCATATCTACAGCAACTTGATCAGAATGATTATTAAAAGAGGGAAATCTTTGATTTGTAAATTGAGTGTTCATTTGACTTGATATAGAACGTGTAAAGTCAGAAGGCATTTTCAAGTATCTGAAAATGTAATGTAAAACAGGTTAAAATAAAATATTACTAAATGTAATGTATTATATATATCATATTATTTAAAAATTTGTAATCAAAAATTAAAATTAAAATTTGTCATTTAAATCACATATAAGTGTGCATCTTTACAATAATAAATTAAAATATAATTGTAATTGATATTTATAAACAAAATATGTTTTAAAAAATTACTAAGTAAATTTTTAATGTTTATTTCTGTAATACTTAAATAAGTTATCTTCAAAAAATTTAGTAAATTATATCTCCATTTTTATACAATTAATTTCTTGTTGTGTTCTCGTTCTTGCACTGATCACCATGCAAGCATATTGCTTTTACAAAATCAACATGGTATCATTGTACCCTTCAGTACTGCAATTTGAAGTCATTATGCTAGCATATGTCATGATTATTAGGAAGGTTTTCTCCACTCCACAAGTACTGGTTTTGTCTGAAGCACTGCTATTCAATACAAAAAATAATTACTTTCATTTTCGTGGTAATATCTATATCTAAAAGCAAAATGTACCAATGGGCTCACTCCTCTCTGCAACACTACCTAAACTTATTATGAGGAACACTGAATCAAAAATTTTTAACTCTCCACTTGCTATGCAATAACCTCTCCTTTATTTACAATATGTAGTTAATATCTTAATCAATTGGGAGAATTCAAAGAACTACTAATATTTATTTAAATGCTGTCCTTAGTTTACTTTTTCTATTTCCTTTGCCATAGAAAACATAATTCCTACTGAGGATCTGTGTATATGTAGATCCAGGAAAGATATTTTAGCATTGTCCTTATATTCTGTGTTCTTTAAATTCAATGCCTTGCCCCTTATTATTCATCAATGGCCTTTCAACCCCAGTACATATAGTATATTCCACCATAGCAATTCTCATACTCAGGACATTTCTCTTCATCTCTAGTCAAGCAGCAGTTAACAATGAATTGTGGTTAGTATCATTTGTAATACAAAAGATGGGCTAGATATCTGAAAAATACAAATACCTTATTAACCACATAAAAAGAGCACTCTCTCTGTTAACCACTGAGCACAAAAAAAGCACCTTACCTATATGTAGCCCACAATATCATAGTTGTGATAACTGTCATTAGTTGTCACAAGCACATTCAGAAAATTCAGGTTTATTGTCCTACTGATCCCCTATTGTCCGGTGTTGCATAGACTTTTATGTAATGATAGAGATAAAGTTGACTTGCTGGAAAAATTGAGGGAATATGCCAAACCTCTACAAAACCATCTCTCATTGGCAGCAATATTGGAGCTACTACTAGAATACTCCAGACACTTATTCAAGAACACCAGGAAAACATAAAAATAACAGGTATACCACAGAAGTGAATAAAAGAGTCCTGGATCAAAATTATAAACTCCTCATTAATTCTTAAACAATGCCAGGATAGAAGACCATTATTCCTACGGGAGGCATTCTACATCTCCTTCCTACCTAATAACAGGGCCACCCTCAACATTCCCAAACTATGGATCACATTATCTAATCAGCTTAAAATCATAAAACTATAGAATAATGTATAAAGACTAGTGATGTAACGAATATTCAGTTACTATTCAGTATTCATCCTATTCAAGCTGATTAAATATTCAGCCAAATACTGAATACCTTAAAACAGAAGTAAGAAATAACAAAAACTCAGTAAATTAATCATTTTGTTATTTAGATTTAATGTTATCAGGTTAGTGTTGTTTGTTTATATTTATTTATAACTTATAACATGCACAAAATAAAAAAGAAAATAATATTAGTCACACGTATTCACAATTTATAATTACAAAGATCAGCACACGCACACACCTATTTGTTCGAGAATCGTCACACACATCTGAGGGTCTGATCCTGCCTATCCTTTTTTTAAGCACTCGTCTTTGCTCTTCGCTTTCTCTTTCCTCTATCGCTGTAGTCCATGTATGCCTGCCTATACATACATCATAATACGCACTCACGATACTTTCAATTCGTCACTTTTCCGTCATGGATTTCCCATTTTATAATTATGTGACTCAAAGCCTGGTGATAATGGAGAAAAAAGACAGATAGGACATCGGTATAAGTCACAGTTATGATTTCACAGATTCGAGACAGCTTGGTAGCCCGAATGGCCCCAGGCTTTCACCCGTGCACGCTAAGTGACTTTCATTACAAGCATTTAGCTTTCCGTTCCGAAGCCTATAACAACAATTGTTTGACATTGACAACCATGAATTTCACACGAATAAGCTGCCTCGAATTGTTCGATTATGTTATCAACTCAATTTAATATTTATTTTCATATTTTCACTTCGCAATCCTTCTCTGTTCTTTTTCCGTTATTTACATGTGTAGGTCATTTTATTGTTATCCACATTTGATATCACTTATCACATACAGTACTGCCATGACGCTCTTGTCTGTCCACTACAACTGTCAAGAATTAACGCAATTGACGAAGCGTAGTGACAGCAGGCCAATAGAGTAGGGTCCTTGCCATAATGCGCTTTGCACGCCAATTTTCTTACGTGCGTTAATCAAGCTGAATAGTTTGGCCAAATATTCGGCTATTCAGCCACGCTCCTGGCCAAATATTTGGTATTTGGCCTGAGGCCGAAAATACTATTCGTTGCAACATTAATAAAGACCCATTCCAATTTTTGTTTAAAAAGATATTTTCTAACTTTTAATAATTTTTAATTTTTATTATCAAATTTAAAATTTGCATACATTCCAAGAGCATACACATAACATCATAACTACTTTGACATAATGTATAGTTAATTTTGTTATTATATTTATTTGCATTTAATATTCCTAATTGCTTTAAAAATATATATGAAATTTGAATTCATATTTAAAATAATTCATAATTTAAATATTTTATACTTTTTTAAGTTTTTCTTAATTTAAAACAAGAGTTGATGTTTCACTCCTTTCTCCATAGTAAAAACTAAAATAATAAACAAAATCATAAGTAGGCTGGTTACACATAGACTGATGGTTGTTGGGCTATTGTTTCACTGCTGTCTTTGAAATGTAAATTACGATATGATTGTCATATTAGTCATTTAAAGGCTCTTATTATGAGTGCAACAATACTTATCTAGGATGCTTACAATAAATATATATAACAAAACATCAAATTCCCCAAATTAATTTAGCAGCAGTTTTCATTCAGTTTGAGGTAATATTCCTCAAACTGAATGAAAACTGCTGGCTAAATTTCAGTTTGGGAAACTGCTGACTAAAATTCAGTTTGAGGAATATTACCTCAAACTGAAATATAAAATTCCTCAAATTCTTTTTACTTACTTTTTTGAAATTTAACCATTTTGCTTCATTTAAGTGATGCAAGATAATTTAATAACATTTTCTTGTAATTGTTTTATCATGAAATTTTGATAACTTTTTACTATATGAAAGCTATAGATTAAAAATAAGTTAAATGTAATGGTCAAAAATGTATTATACTAAAAATATCAGTAACTATAGAAATCAATTTTTCTTTTCAACAAGTACTGCTGTTTCAAGGTAAGTTATTTATAATTTAGAAGTTTTTAAAATAGATTCAATTAATGCATATGCTAATAAATGTTTAAAATTTAAGTTTATTTAATTAAAACTAATTAAAAACTAAAAATGATCTAATTAAAATTTATCATCATCCTACAGTTAGAAAAAAAAAAAACAGGTAGAATTCTTCAAAATTCATATCATAATTACATCATAGTTCAAATATGAATAATACATTATTCCTATCTAAATATAAACATCTTTACAAAAATCCAATACAGATTCCAGTTTAATGTAAAATTATTTAATTAAATTATAATTATTAAATTTAATACAATATGGCACCTAACGCCTTCCTCTAGGGTCAAATTGATCAGTAATTTATAATTATTATAGCTGTTATTAGCTCGATGTCATATAGAAGTTATTATAGCTTTATCTATTAATGTGGTTAAAAAGTGTCACACTGAGTAATAAACATTTTAGTTTTTCAATTAATTATTGTTTACTTTGATAGAATTTCTAAAAAGCTTTCATAATTATTGTCAAATAAAATATTCATACAATACTTAAGAATTACAGATATAAATAAATAATGATTAATTAAGTATTAAATTATTGTGTTTAACAGATAGTTTTTAAGCACATTCTTTGGAACATATCTGATGACTATCAACAAGGAATAATATACAGCAGCGCTGTCCAACTTATCATAGCCCGCGGGCCATATTTTCTTCACCAAACATTTCGGGGGCCAAGAAGGTTGATAAACCACATGACATTTGCATAGTGCTACGGTTCAGTAAGCACTAATTGGTCAGCGAGTCCGATGTTGACGCTATAAAAAGGCGACAGTTCGACACACCGGATATACGTCACTCTCGTCTAAGTTCGACTTGGGAATTTTTTTGTTCAATAATAAATGTGAATTCTTCTTCCTGGAAAAATAAGACATTCCCTGAAAATAAGACCTAGCGCATTTTTCAGAGCAAAAATTAATATAAGACACTGTCTTATTTTCGGGGAAACACGGTAGTAAAATAATTTTATTAATAATAATAATTTAGTAACATAAATTTATTCATAGTAAAATGTACTCGCGGGCCGTAAAAATTATTTGGCGGGCCGTATACGGCCTGCGGGCCGCCAGTTGGACAGCGCTGATATACAGTAAAGCTCCTACTTTGCAGCCACCAATGGTTCTGAGCAAAAGTGATCTTTATGCACCATACTTTAAAAAAAAATATAATTTCAGTTGTAAATGCAAGTTAATAAAAATATTAAAAAATAATACAAAAATATTTGATTCTTTTGTGTTTTCTTTAATCCAATACATTTAAAGAAAATTATCCTTCTTATTTATATGTGGATTAAAATAGCCTGTAGAATGACCTAATTTTTAAAATAAAACCATTGTCTATGGGATGGAAGTATAGATTTGTTCTTCTGTTTTCTTT